AGTTCCCAGCCACAAGCACTACATGGATCGAGACCCTCGGGAAGCGGGAACAGGATCGAGGAGGGAACGACTCGATGCCAAGCCCGTTGGGAACAGGGGGTGGGAGTGGGGGAGTGAAGGGAAGGGGAGTGAAGGGAATTTCCCCCCTTCCTTCACTTCCCCAAATCCGGCTGGTTTTGAACCCAAAGAACAAACGGTGTCACCGGGATGAAGCCGGGTTGGAATTTCGGGAATCGATCACATTCCCGGAAAACGCTGTGGATTTTGTATATGACCCTTGGAGTTCATGTATATTCGAGTTCCCCTTTTTCCATAGGACACCAGGAAGTTTTAGTCTCTCCTAGATGTTGGAATTCTTCGGTTCTGGGTTTGCATGTTGCCCAAAATCCCTTTTCCCCACACAAAAAAAAAAGAAGCCGCCGTTTCCCTCCCGCGTTTTTCCACCGCAGCAAATCCTGATGGATTCACACTCCCCCTTCCCCCCCAAATCCCAGTTGATCCCGTTGAATTTCCTTGGGTGCCACCCACCCAGCAGAGAAAATAGGGATTAAAAAAAAACCTCTAATGGGAGCTGGAAAATCCTCAGGGAATTCCCAGCGTTCCCACCCGGAATCGGTCGTGGCGGCTCCGGGAGGATCCGGCTCAAATTCCCCCTCCCCCATTTTTCCCTGTTGCTTTATTATTTCCTTCTTTTTTCCCCAATTTTCCTCATCCTGCTCCATAAACCTCCCCTCTTTTTTAAACTCTAGAATTGTGTAGAAATCAGGAATATTCCTTTTTATTTGGGAAAAGCCCCAAACTTCCCAATTTCGGGAGGAATTTTAACGGATAAAGATTTTTTTTTCCTTTTTTTTTTTTTTTTATTTCCAACTTTTTTTCTGGGGGGGGGTTGGAAATTCCAGGTGATTCTTGTACCCGGGAATATGGGACGATGGATTAAATTCTTCTGGAAATGAAGGAAGGGGAAGAGCAAAGTCTGGAATAGCTGGAATGGTGGGATGGGGAAGGGGCACTGGGGTTGGAGGTGGGTTTGGGAGGAATTGGGGCAGTTTTGGGGTTCCCTCCAGGAAGGTTTAAGTGAAAGGGTGTTGGGATGTGGCCTTGTGTCCTGGGATGTGGGGACAGGGGGGTCAGGATAGAATCATTGAATCATTGAAGTTGGATCCCTTGGGATCACTGAGTCCAACTATCATCCCTACTCTACAAAGTTCTCCCCTCACCCATCTCCAGGCCCTGACAACCCTTTCCATGAAGATGTTCCCAAGATCCCACCTCAACCTCCCCCAGGCAACTTGAGGCCGGTTCCTCTGGTCCCATCCCTTGTTCCTGGGGAGCAGAGCCCGACCCCCCTGGCTCCAACCTCCTTCCAGGCAGTTGCAGAGCCAGAAGGTCTCCCCTCAGCCTCCTCTTCTCCAGGCTGGACACCCCCAGCTCCCTCAGCTGCTCCTCAGGCTCACACACCGTTTGTATCCCACACTAGGTGGTCAAAATAGAACCATAGAATCACAGAGTCATAGAACCACAGAACCACAGAGTGACAGAACCACAGACCTGCTCAGGCTGGAAAAGCCCCTTGGGATCACCAGTCCAACCATCATCCCTGCTCCACCAAGTTCTCCCCTCACCATCTCCACCAACACCACATCCCAACGACCCTTCTGCACCTCCAGGGATGGTGACTCCACCCCCTCCCTGGGCAGCAGTTCCCGGGTCTGACCACAGCAAAACTTGTCCCTGATGTCCAGTCTGACCCTGCCCTGGTGCAGCCTGAAGCCCTTCCCTCTTGTTCTGTCACTAATGACCTGTGAGAAGAGACCAGCACCAGCCTCTCTGCAATGACCTTCCAGGTGGTTGCAGAGACTGATGAGCTCTCCCCTCAGCCTCCTCTTCCTCACACTGGACATTCCCAGCTCCTTCAAGGCTTCTTCATCAGGTTGATTCTCCAGGCCCTTCCCCAGCTCCGTTGCCTCCTCTGTCCTTGTCCAGCCCCTCGAGGTCTCTCTGGGATTGAGGTGCCCAAACTGGACCCAACACTCAGGTGTGACCTCCCCAGTGCTGAGCACGGGGGGACAATCCCCTGTGCCCCTGCTGGTCACACCATTTCTAATACAGGCCAGGATGCTCTTGGCCTTCTTGCCCACCTGGGCACACACTGGCTCATGTTCAGCCACTTGTCAATGAGAACCCCAGGACCTTTCCAGCCGCACTTCCCCAGGCCTGGGGCGTTCCCTGGGGTTGCTGTGGCCCAAGGGCAGGACCCGGCACTGGGCCTTGTTGAAGCCCAGACCATTGACAGCCCAACGACCCAACCGACCCCCGTGTCTGCGGAGCCTCCCTGTTCTGCAGATCAACCCTCCGGGGTGTTGGAAACGCTCGGGGAACGGGGACACAGGGTCGGGATGAGGCCTCATGTCCTGGGATGTGGGGACGGGAGGTCGGGGAGAGGCCTTGACCTTGGGAAAAGGGGACACAAGGGTCGGGATGAGGCCACATCTGGACGTGGGGACCTCGTGGCCGAGTCCCCGGGATGGGGGCGCCGGGGTCACGATCGGGCGTTGGCCCCGTGGCTGGGGACACCGGGGTCAGGCCGAGGTCACCTGGGGGACCCGGGCGTGACCTGGGAACGGGGACACGGGGTCAGGATGAGGTCGTGACCCGGGGCCGTCACGTGCCCATGTCCCCACGCTGGGGGTCACGGGGTCACGCCCCCGGTGACCGCGTGGGGGCGCGCGCGACGCCGGAG